CGTCCAAACATGCTCTGGCTGGCAGCGCAATTGTATGCATGGCTTAGTTTTTTCTTCCTCACGGTCAAATTGTTTCCTTCCCTTTCTAAAATTGCACCAAGGGCTACATACCATTGTATTATAATGTAACTAAAGCATTTAACATATGCAGGGGGGAAAATTAAAAGGTTGCATTAAAAAAATAATTATACATGTAATATATGTAGGCAGAGATATATTTGTATCTGCTCATTATTTAAACCTCAGGAGTTAGACAGGTATTTTTAATGGTCCAGTGGTCAATGTTAGAATGCCAGTCTTTGTAAAGTGGAGAGGGCCAGATCCCAAGAAGCAATGAGCACTCTTGATGGTTATTGATGTTGATAGCTGCTGCTAGTGCTCAGTACAGGCAATGACCTTCATCAGGCTACATCATGGAATAAAACACAAATTTAAACAAGCCTGGAAATGCTGTACACAACTTGTTCTCTATTAATTTTTTCATTCTTTCATCTCTTGCATTCTCTTGGACACACTGGAATACAGCTTTGTCCAGTGAGCCACAAAACACTCTGCTGTCCTCTTTTAAAGTAGAAAGGTTTAACCTCGTCTGGAGTATCTGTCCTTTCTCTGCACTACAGCATTTGTTCTGCCCAAATGGCCAATTCCTCCTTTCACAAGAAACACTTTGTTTCAGAATTAAACCTGACTATCCTGTCAGTTCTGTGGAAAGGAAGCAGAGAGGTCAATTTATTCCCAGTAATTCTGACATGTAGCATAGTGTCTTCTGCAAAGATGAAGAAGAGACACGAGAAGAATATGATGCTGCCTCTCACAAAATGACTCTCACAAATTACTTATTTTTATCCTGTGCAACAGGAGTATTGGCTTTCAACCTGATTGTGCACACACAGACATCTTTGTTATCACATGTGTAAGAGGAGGTATCTTCAGCTACATAATCTATTTTACCTGTAACAGTTTCAAAATGACAAAAAATACTGTCTTCAGTCTGGAAAAATAATTTGAGATGCTGCACAAAAAGCAACAATAAACTGATAATTTTGCAGAAGTCAACCTACTTTGTCACAACTGAAGAGGGCAACCTAATACCATCTCACTGTTCTTGCATCCACTGTCCTATCTGTAAACCCCTCCTCAAAACAGAGCATAGCACCTTGCCAACAAGGCTAAAGGGGATGGAGAATTTATATCTAGAAATCTTTTCAAAGCTAGGAGTGTCACACATAATATCTTTCTTTTCTTTCTCCTTCTTTCACATTTTTATTTCTGCTTAGATATAATTGCTGAATCACCCCTACTAGGGTTTTTTTTTTATTAGTGGTAGTGGTGGAGGGTTGGTTGCTTGCTTTTTTAAAACACAGGACAATTTGTATTCTTTTTAAGACAACTTATCTCTGTTGAGCACTGGGGGAAGAAGCAGGTGCAGGGGAAGAAGCAGGTGAATTGCCACAAGAGCAACAGAGGCATCTGCTGTCCTCAAGCACCCCAAGCTCTAGGAAGATGTAGAGATAGCTTAAACAGTTCAAAGGCAGAGATCGCCTCCTCCGCAGCAAATCACTGTGCTTTCCTGTTCTGCACTGTGTCCATGTGCTCTAACTTAATGAGAAAACAGCACTAACACAGTCTTCTCGAATTTGACATTCATTAAGAGCTTTCCAAGACAAAGATTTTCAGGGGCTATTATATTTATTAGCTAATGTGGGCACACACAAATTTTGTAGAAAATTATATTTTAACTAAGTAGGATTTATTTCTGTTGAATACTAAAGAATAGTTTCCATGTATGGACACAGAGCTGACTCCAGAGCAGTACCTAAGTATGGTTTTCACTAGCAGACTGGAAGATAAAAGCATGGCTAACTGCCAGAATTAATATACTGGAAGAGTAAGAAATGCTGAAATCATAAAAGAGAGAAGCACTTGTGTATATTTAAGACTGAAGAGAGAAGCACTTGTATATATTTAACACTGACACACTTCATTTTCCTGAAATACTGAAGTAGTCCCAAATCCTGTGAAAGTGCTGAGCAAGAAAATGGGTACTGCAGCAGATTTAACACACTGTCCATACTAATACAGCCCAACAGTGATATGGATGCGGTCTGATGGCAATACGACACAGCAGAGAGAATGCAGGATCAGAGCTATTATTTCTTCTCAGAACCTATCCAGCGGTTCACTAGCAATATTTTGCTGGTGGAACACACACAACTCTTCACTCAGCATTTTGAACTGTGCTTACAAGTAACCTGTATAAAAATAAGTACCAGAAAACTCTGCTAGAATGTTTTTAGCTTTCACTTCTCAACTGTGATTTTAAAATTCCTACAGGATGAGCTTGGAGAAAGTAAATTAGTCACTGTTAGCACCAAAAAAATTACACATGTTCACTTCCAATTGAAACATTTATCAATGATTACAACTGTATTAGTCCTGGAAAAATAAGTCTGTTCAATGTATTTTTTATTGCTGTTGTGGTGCAAAGCAATAGGATGAGAGGCAATGGGAAGAAACTGATACATGGGAAGTTCCACTTACATTAATTTTGTAAGAAACCAGGGCATCTTTCTCATGTCATCAAAACTTCTCCACATGCCATTTAGTGCTACATAAGCACCTTAGGAGCAATCCAAGCCCACTAAAGCCAGAAGCAAGTTTTTTATCAGCAGAATTTAGACAAGATTATTGCCCAATTATCAGAAAAGCAATCTAAAAACACATTTGCCTTTTACCTTATAACAGTCAGATCTTTCAGTCTTGACATTGCCAAAAGTTTAGGCATTCAAGGACAGCTGGATTTTACTTATTCATTAATTTACTATACTTTCTAATGGTATATCCGCTTCTCTGACCACATTAACTTTGTGAGCTATTAAAGTCTGAGATCACATGGATTCTGCTGGAAATTACCTTTAGCTTAAGGTGTGACTCCTCAAAACAGAAACCACTCAACAGAAACCTTCACCATGCTCTCAGTGAGGTAATCCGGTTTATGAGATGATGAAGCTGTTACTGACGCAGGCAGGCTCCATTAACAGATGGGAGACTGCAAGAATAAAGGTTTACTGGGCAGACTTCACAGTCACTACCTCATCTGATTGACCCCACTCCATAAAAATTACGTTACATGGTGATAATACATCCTCAGAGGCCAACTAAATATTTGGGGAGGAAAAGAAAGAAAGCTGCTTACCAAACCTCCCCTCTCCTTCTCCTAGGAATTTACAAGAATACAATAACAACTCAGCATGAGAAAATCTAACACAGAAATAAGTAATTGTGAAAAGCATCCCTGGGCAAGAACCTCAAACCAAATAATGTATGGAAAGTCTACAAACACAAAAGTGTTTCCAAATACTTCAGCAGCTTTGAGGGGACAACTGTTATTCAAACATATAGAGCAAGAAGTACTAACTGGAGCCTAACACAGATTCGGTCTCTTGCAAGGATGATAAGTTTATATTCTAAAGAAATTGAACACCTTTCCTTTCTCAGTTTACCCCAAATTTCATAAGTCTACTTAACTACACATCAAATGCACCACAGTCAGACTGTAGAAGTTGATATAACTAAATTGTGATGTTCTTTCTTCCAAATAACTAAACTCAGCTGTCAGTTAAAATTACAAATACTTAATATGTATTTTTATATCTGTGTGATAGAGTTTCTGCATGCTAGCATTTAGGGATGAAGTTTCAGAACTGGATATAGCATGATAATAATCTACCTATTTCTTAAATGCAGACCAAATTCCAGGAGTGCTGAATATCCATTGGCATACTTTATCTGGAAGCACTTGACTTCTCTTCTAAAATTCTCAAGCTCATCCAGAAATTCCCAACAAAAGAGGCAGGCCTCCCCTGTCTGACACAATCACATTGCAAATGAGGTGTGGAGCTCAGCACAATCCATGCTGGCTCTGCAATATGGGTACTTTGGCACTAAGTGTCGAAATCTGGAGCCTGAGGATGCAGCAGATGCAGCCCCCTCAGCCAGGAGCAGCTGGACCCAGTGAGGCAGGGAATATGCCCCATTTTCTGAAGTATGGCTCATACACAGCAACTGAAAGCCACAGCCCCAGCCTGTACTGAATGTAACATTTAGATTAGAGCGGAATGGTATCTCAGAAGTCTCAAATGTATGGCTCTTTGGCCACACTTTTATTTTCAAAGGCCTGTGGGGAATGCAAGTGGTACAGACCCAGGAAGGATAAAGTATACGGATCCCAAGCTATGAGGAAGACAAAAATGATCACTTGAGGACATAGCTCCAGTAAACAAATTTATAATACATTATCATGTGGCAATTAACAGCTGGGAAGCTACATCAAAAATACTCAGGACCACCAAGGTCTTCTACTGAACAATCCCAAATCCACCTGCTCATGCAGCATAGACTGCAAAAGTTTGGCATTTCAAAATTGCCTTGTATTCAGAGCTACTTGCTCAATAATACGGCATACATCTTAATTATACAGCTCTTTAAAACTGCTGTAAAAAAAGGGCTTTGGGGGTCCTTTTTCTGGGGGGGGGGAGGGGGGAAGGGTTGGGTAGGGAGGGGGGAAGTGGGAAATCTGTGCAGCTCAATTAAAGGTCACGAAATCACACCAGCCGAAGATGTGCCCTGCACTGCAACCACTATGAATTAAGCCCAGGAATGGAGTAACTCTGTGCTAATGAGGCAATTAGCCTCTTCTAGCCTTGCTTCTGTTGGCAGTTCCACTACTGATCTTCTGAAGCCAGGTGCTTTTTATCCCCAGCACTATAAAATGCTACAACCTACTACAGATGGATAGTGATGGTATGTCTTGGAGGGAATAGGAAAGTTGTGTAAACCATCTATTATCACCTAGGTCTCAAAAGGTTCATTTAAACTTCACAAGACAGGAATTTGTAATTTATATGCAAAGTGGGCTTATCCTCTTCCTGTCTACATTATTTAACACACTGCTAATATATACTCTCATGTCTGTGATCAAGAAAAGTAAATACAACAGCTGACCAGATATGCACTGCATTTTTATTAATTTAATCTTAGCTTCCCAGGCTTATCAAAAAGATATATGTATTTCAAGGATTTGATATTTTAGAACTTTACATAATACTCACACTCTCACAAATCCCTCTGACTTTCATATATACATAGCCAATGAAAATCTACAGCAAAGGAAATTAAGATAATGTGTTTGTGAGAGCTAACACATAAAACTTCACCTGCACCTGAGAAACAAATTAAATTATTTTTTAAAACAAAAGTAAAAAACACTGTCCAAAATCTGTGCTGTCATTTACTCCCAAATACAAACATCAAATGACAGAATATGCAGAGCTTGTTTGGTACACAGTTTTTTGCCCATTAATAACTCTACTCCCACCTAAGGAGCAATGGGACCATGCTTATTCCCAGTTCTGCAGTATGCACTCTACCAGTGTGCAGTCAAGTACAATTTTAGACATAGTGTCTATGTCTCATTTATAGGACTTCAAGAATAGGGAGCAATGTGACAAACTTCTGGCATCTGAAGAACAAAGACTAGACTTTCTATTGAGAGGATATTTCTCATAAAAGATGCCCTGATCCTTGTTTTAAAAAAGGTTTATTTCTCAATAGAAAAGTATATTTTAAAACACAATTATTTGCTAACAGCAGTATAAAACTCTACAGTTTTAACTTCATAAAAGTTTAACAAAACATAAATATTGTCTACCACTTACATTCCTATATACAGACCTTGCATTAGCTAGTTAAATAGTTAAGAGATAATAACTCAAAAATGAATGGCACACAACTACATTATTCAAATTCCATGTCACAGTGCACAATCACAGTAACACAAGGAAGAGCTTAAAATCCTCAGTCACTGGATTCTGCTTTGTTCTCTTTATAGCTATGTTCCTCTTCTCTCTGCAATAATGCACCAGTTTCCATGGTCATAGCAGGAAGAAAGTATCTCAAGCTCAGGCACATTCTCTTCTACCAGAGAACTCAGCTCCCCTTCCCGAAAAACATGGTAATAACGCATGAAGGCCTTTGTATCCAACATGGCATCAGTTTGGTCCCCAACAGACACTGCTGAATCCAAAGCCGAGTCAGTGGAGTCAGTTGTTGAAGTTCTTTTAAAAAACTTGCTGGTATCAGACTTACCAGCATCATCCTTATTACAACCACAGATGCAGTCCCTGTCTTCCACTGGGCCATTTATAAATGAAGCTTTGTCCCCCTTGCTCTGAGCTACACTTTGGTGTCCTCCATTTAAACTTAAATCCTTCGGTGCATCTGTGGCTGGTGACCACTGTGGTTTTTTGAGAGACAGGCCTTCCACAAACACATCATCATCATCATCTAAACTCTGTTCATTTAACAGTGCCCCATGGTGACCTAAATCCAAACTGCAGTGTCGTGAATGTTGAATGGGTACGGCGCTGTTGGCCCACACTCCTTCATGTTTCAGGTGCTTCATTTTGTCACTTTGCTTTCTCAGGGCTGATTCATCAAGGGATCTGGAGAAAAACCATGAGCGGAAAGATCTTCCTAAAGCACTGTAAAATCTGTTTTCTTCCTCAGAAATTTTCATGCAGCAGGCTCTGGGTAAGCAATGGTTCATACTGCGGGGATGTTTTGAATCAGTTTCTGGCTGCAGATTGTTTTGGTAGCTGCACTCAGAGATTACAAGCTTTGCAGGGTGTATGTCTTGGCCTTTCGCAGTATGGACAAACTCACCCTTATCTCCAGATTGATTTGATTCTGAAAAATGGCGTGAGCACAAGGCCTTGTTCCATGGAACAAATACATCTTGTTTCTCAAAGTGACGATTCTTTTGTTCCATAGCCCAAACATAAATCATTATTTGGCCTCCAGGCATCAATATCCTTGCCATTTCCTTTATTGCTTTGATTCTCCTTTGTTTAGTTGAGAAATGATGTATCACTGTGAAAAAAAGAAAGGTATTATGTACTGAATATTAGTAAAGACAAAGCATTTCCATCTACAACCTGTTCTACACGTTCAAGCATTTCAGTTGCCTCACTCCAAATTATCACTTGCTGCAAGTCAGCAACAGTGCTGAATTTATAGGTACCACAATGGAAGGTTACCTCAGATTGCTCTCTTTTATGTTCAATAGATAAAAATAGGAAAATCTGGAAGGAGGAAATTAATCTCATCCAAAACAGGGATTCAAGAAAAGTCAAGTATATAAGCTGAAGGTTTCTGTTTCTCTGCATAATCCATAACACAATATAACATGGCATGCTTTCACTTAAACTAGGTGAGTTAGTATCAAGTTGACTTTAGTTTTTGGCACAATTTTCAGACTTATCTTACTGAAAATAGAAAATTTTTTCACCATATAACAAATAACAGCAAAATGTAACATCAGTAAAAAGATACTTTGAACTTTCACATAGCACACTTGGAAAAGATCTAGTGAGAAAATTTAGACAAATATTCACCATTGCTTTAATTTTGTCAAATTAAATTTAATTTTTGTAAAAAATAATGTCTACATTGCATGTCTCAGCATTTTATGATTTTTTTTACGTTATGTTATGTTAGTGAAAAATAAAGTCAAATTTAAAATAAAAACTTGGATCACAATATTTTGATTTTCTTTCCAGGACAATTTCTACATTTTCAAATTTCACTCCAATGTGAAATGACACTACATTTCAAGATTTCTACATTATTTCTATCTTCCTATTCACCTGGAGTACGAATGAGCCAATTTTAACAGTCAGAGAATAGCTAAGAGAACTATTTTCTCTCTAAACTCTCAGAAGCATTAACTTGTACTGAGCTTGGACACATTGGTAATGTTTTTCTATATGTCATCAGTACTAGATTTGCTGACAGAGGCAGCATACACATACAAGCTTAATTTACCAGAAAGAAATGACAATCAACCAATTGATTGTCAATCTGTGCAAACTTTTTAAGGGGTTAAATATTCCATCTGGTTAGAATCACTCTGCTGGTTCTGCAGAAAAATCAATCCTATAAACATGATTATACCAGCAAATCCAAGAAGTGTACTTGACTAAGTACATAAATACTTGTTTTTCTCTGTAATAGGATGAAAACCACTTTATTTAGAATTAGATGGACATAGGCATACCACGTCTCTATTCAAGAGAGATTAAAATCTGTTATTGTTAAATGTACTGAAATAGCATGTGAACTTTTAAACATGTCAGGCTTATAATTGGCATAAACTCTAGACAGATATGCTATCCTTCTGAGTCAGCTGATCTGATAAGCACTGAAATGATGCTATGAGACCTAAAATGTGAGTAGGGCTCACTGGTTAGCTAGCCAACATGAAAGCAAAGTAATATGATTACTGCTTGTGTATTAGTCACCCTTTCCTTCCACCTGTTTATGGTAAAGATATATTTTAAAATAAATTTCTATCACATTTCAAGTAGTTTGTTGATTGCTATCAATATTAATTATCATGCTTTTGCTGATGAATTAAAAATCCCTGATAGGAGCTCAGTCAAGACTAGAGCTAAAAATGTAGACTAATTGGGTACTCTTTTTTATCTACACTTTGCAAATTATGCTTCTCAAATTACAAGTAGCATTTTCAAAAAGAGATGTCAGAAGAGTTATGATGCAGAGTTGCTCTGGTCATTTTAGACAACAAGCACTTTTATGAATCTGAGTTCTTATGACTAAGAGAAATCCAAATTCATAACACATATTAGTTAATGCAAGTTCCAAGTTCTGCTATGAAGTTTTCACTACAATGTATTTGCTGATCAAAACAGATGCTATGAAGAAACCAAGAATTTGTCTTGAGCATCTAATCTGTTTAAGATTTAAGCAGCCATGTTTAGATTAGTTTTCCCTTGTTTACAATCCATGCTGGAAGGAAATCTTTTCTCTACCACATATAAACAAACAAGTGATATGCATATTTCCTTGGTCAGCAGTGCCTCTTGAGTAATGGGAGTTATGTTTATTCATGTTGACTAAATTAATTTAAGTTATATCTCCTGTAATTCTAAGGAACTGTTTCAAAACAATTACACACGGAAGCCACATGGAAAGAAAAGAACATTCAGAAATTCTCATTTGCTGGGGCCAGAATGTAGGTACGTTTTCTTACCTCCAATTGAAATTACTGCATTGAAGCACTGATCCCTAAAGGGAAGGTTAAGGTTGTCACACACCAGAACTTCATCACCTTTCTTCCTTGCAATTTCTACCAGTCCTTCACAGTAATCACAGCCCAGATTATACACCTGACTGTTGACACTGAGATACTTTCCAGTTCCACAACCTAAAGAAAAGGATACTAGATCAGAAGTCATATATTCCAAACATTTGTTCTCCCCCCCAAAGCAGTGAAAATAATATGCAGGCTTTCCTAATCCAAAATTTTCCTGAAAAACAAGAAGAGGGTTTGTGCTGACTAGCCTAACTGTTGTTCATTTGTCCTGTTTAAATTGTATGTTCACACTATTAGGATTGTAACAGTACCAACATCACCAACAAAAATACTTATTACACAGCCCTGTATAATAGCAGGTTATCTGTATTTCTGTGGGGAACAGGGATAAGTGCAGGTGGGAGGAGGAAAGAATTATCCTTTGTATTGTACATCTTCAAGAATAAAAACCCAACAATGCTGCTTCACACTGAGTCTACATAGCCTGGTATCCCACTACCAACAAAGAGCATAAATGGGTGCCCAGGAGAGGGTAAAAAAAGGATAAGCATTAAGGCCTTCCCCAGTACCATTCCAGCTTCCAGCTACTTTCTGTTCAGGGGATTTCCTGAAGCCACTGTGTTATGTTTCAGTGATCTGCAGCAGATCTCTTTTCTTTGCTTAACCCCATGCAGTACTTCTCCAGGGGATGCATTCCATTTCTCTCCAAGAAGTCCTAAACCACAAATGCCACTGATACAAGTCAGAGTGGAAAATTTTTACTTTAGATACATGTGGAGACCCTGGGGAGCATCCCCTAGGTTGGGGAAACACAAGAAGCTTCCCTCAAAAAGCCAATAAAACCCCATTGGCTCCTTGTCCTGTTCCTAGCTCAGTTCCTGTGTCCCTGAGCCCCTGTTCCCTGACAGGCCCTCATCTTTGTACTGCCCCCAGACAAGGGTCACCCCAGGCCCTTTGAGAGACAGCAACCTGGACCCTCCATGTGTGTGCCTGGGACTCTGAACATCTCACCGCACGGCTGAATTAAACATCTGTGGATACCATGCAAAGGCCCTTTCTGCTTCTTTACCCTGGACTTTACTAGCAGCAATTCAGGCTGCAACAGATACAGACTCAAAAATAATTATAAATCATGAAAGTTCTTTCTATATTGCAAGCACATCCTGTTTTTGTCTCTGTGCCAGTCCATTATAACCCATGTAAATGTAATGAACTGTTCCAGAATGTCTTCTCAAGGACTGTGCTATACTAAACTGAAATCTTTCAGAGGATCCCTCAATGCCTTATGCATAACAAGCACATTTTTAAAATTATACTGGGAGCAGTTCACTGCAGCTCTGGGTCACTAGTGAGGAATAATTTCTGAAAGTTGACAGCCAAGCAACGGGGTAGCAGCTTGGCAAAGAGAATCATTTCAGTACTGGTAATTCGATTTAAAGGCTTGGAGTTATCTTTAGAAACATCACTGCTTCTCACAGCGCTGCTGCTCTCGGTGATGTTAATGCGCGCCATTATCTAGAGAAACAGCACAGGAACCACTGCAGAACAGAACAGCACTTCAGTTGTGAAAAAGAGCGTATTTCTCAGCTAAAAGCAAGCACTATTCTTTGAAGTAACACTTGAGAAAAATGGAAAATACTAATATTACTAATGCAGTTCAAGGAATATATGCAATAACACATGAAGCTCTGCATGCTACAAAACTACAAATTTTAAAAATTTGTATTAATTATTATTCATTATTGTGTTTGCAGAGGAACACTTTTATTCAACGATCATTAATTTGGAAGATTCAGTTGCATAATACATGGCGTCTGGTGAAGTACTCTTTAATCACTGTGAGTTTTTGGAAGTATAGGGTCCTCTCTGGAATGGAGCTAAATAGTGTCAACAATCACAGTATACTAAAAATCTACATTTGCCAGAGATTCACTTTTAAATGAATCATCAGGAAGGTGAATTCCTTTAAGCTAACAATGGCCAAGCTATTTTTATGTGTTTTGATCAATGAAAAATAGTAAGGCAAATAGACAAAATTATGTTTCAATAAAAGGCAGTATTAAACTGAAAAGAAAATTACAAATTAAAGATCTTATTTTGAAAACTTTAGTGCCACTAGGCACTAGTGCCACTTTAGTGCAACTCCTCCTTAAATACATGCCAAAACTAAACACAATTGTCAGATCCTGTAGAACTTATTAAACCTTATAAAAGAAGATACCTTGTGTGCCTCAGTGGGAGTATTCTTATTGGCAACTCTAAGGACTGATCTCGTCTTGATGCAACAGCGTGACCTTAAGCTTTCAGCAATCAGTGCTGATAAAGCCTCAAAAGACTTTAGCTAAGATGCAAATGACTTCTATTGAGGTGGCAATGATTTTGGTTGAGAAGTATCAATCTAGCTCACAGCTGAGTGTATGCCATAGGAATTTCCTGAGATTATCAGTGACAATGGTGCAGACATATAAAAATAGCTACATGCTCAAAAGAATATCAATCAAGTATTTTTGGTATAATGCTCAACAGGAGCAGGAGAACTACATATTATCTTCTGATTATGGCCTACAGCATATTCAAGTAATGTTTTTGTCTTATAGGATAAAGCAGACGCATAATTTATTGCGCACATTTGTTAAACCTTGCTGTGTAAAAATATTTTTTAGTTTAACCAGTATGGAAAAGACAATGGTGCAAACAAGCATTTGTTTTGCAATGTGCTGTATAGGACTGAAGTCATAATGCAAGCAAAGGAAACATGCCAGCACCTGGAAGCCCCCAGAAAGTCTGCAAGAACAACAGAAATCCAGGTATAAATACTGTAAGTAGGGAAGACAATGCCATAACAGGAAAACACCTAAATATGGTGTCCATATTTAGGTTCATATGGAGATTCTCAGACCTTTTTTTTTTTTTAATATTTTTAACAGCAATCACATCAGAAGATTTCTCTTAAGAAAAAGCCTTGCTCAGATGAGCTTTAGAACAAATTAAAACCAATAAATTGCAGACTTGTATTACATAAACCAAGTCATCTAAAGAAACTAAAATATTAAGTAACTGGGCTATTAACATAATTTTTTCAAAAGGGCTCCAGGGGAATGAAAGACCATTAAACCAGTGGGGAAATTGATAGATTAAGACTCAGCTCAACAAAAATGAAGGAAAAAATTATTTACTGTCTATGTGATACGCTGCCAAAGAATGAAAAGAAGTTGTATATGGCATCTAGCATTGGGGCTTAAAAACAATTTTAAAACAGATTTAAACAACTTTTAAAAAAAGTTGATCTGAAGGCTAAATATAATTAACAGGTAAACTAACAAAGCTTATAAACAATATTTTATGTCACCTCAAAGAATGGCTTACCTATATCAACCACGAGACTGCCAGGCTTCTGTTCCAGCAGAAAGTTCCGAACACGAGGCCATGCTTTGGTCTGCAGATCACTAAAATAGGCAGCAGTGTTTTCATACACACTGTGCACGTGCTGCTTTTCTAGCTGGGTAGCCTCATGTTCCATCCTGAAAACATAATCAAGATTATGTATAACAAAACACAAACTTTTGCAGTATAGACATTATATTTTATAATATGGCATGCATAATTCAGGACCTTGTATGCTTATACTCATAAATTACATCCATCTACCAATCATATTTATAAAATAGTCTTTACTCAAAGGATCTGATTTTATTTCATGAAAGTCAAGAGAAAATGTGAATGTATCACCTCTCCTGTGAAGCATTATGTAACTGAACGTGACTATGCAATAATAGGCACATTCCCAAGTTCACCAATATAGTAAAAGCTTACCTGGTGCAAAACAGAGCCTGTATTCAGTGAAAGTGCAGAATGGTTATAGAATTATAGAATTATTTAGCTTGGAAAGACCTTTACGATCACCAGTGCAACCAACTGCGAACAGGATTTTAAGAACCAACTTTCCTGTTGTTGCTAATGTCATGTAGGGAAACTACTAATATGTTACTTGAAATATAACGTGGTCCCTGAAACCTAAGCCCCTAAATCATTCATAAGTGATTTGTGGTTTATCAGCCCTCTAGAAGTGATTATTTTGCTAAAATTGTTTGTCAACCAAACCTCACTTTCCCTACTTCCACTCCACTACCTTCATGTCTTAGCACAGTATTTTAGTTTAGTGATTCAAGAAGTGGTATCTTCTTAAACTTCAAGTACTACCCCTGAGCTCATTAGACTACCAAGGGGATGCAGAATCCCATAGTACAAAATCTCACATCTTCCTTAATGTATCCTCTCATCCAAGGACCAACCAGGTCAGGCTTGAACATCTGATGAAGGCTGATGAGATTACATTCCAAAGTGTTAAGGCATTTTTCAAACTAACTTAAACTGCCTGTTTATATAGGAAATATTTCTTCCCATTATTAAAACAAAACTTATTCAATTGTCCAAGAGCTCCACAGAGATTAAAGCCTGCTTCCAAATATCAAACAGACTAAGCAATGTATTATCAAGATAAAATTATAAAAGTGACTCCTTTGACTGCATTTGAAAAGGTCAAAAGCAAAGACTTTAATTTACTTTCCTTGATTTTCAAATAACATACACTTAGGAACCATAATAAAAATTTCTTCTTCCTGTCACTTTTAGTATTGAAATACATTAGTATGAGAGAAAAGATGAGACTATATAAGAAATTATGATATCTATAAGAAAAAACATTTTTATTATTTTTTAAATGTATGTGTAATAATGTGAGCTGGCAGCACAGCTGTTCTACAGACACAACCTGTCCTACACCTGTCCTACAAATACAATCTTTTTCATTTAAAAATTTTTAAAAATGGGAATTAATCCCAGTAACTGAAAAAAAACAACATACTTCAAGTGTGTCTCAATGTTTACAGGATAGTATGTAAGGCTTGATCCATTTCACTGGTACTGTGTAAGAGGTAGGAACAAATTCTTAACAATTTTCACAGTCTATTCTGACTGTAGTATCTATCAATATCTCTCTTCAAAACATTTATGTTCAATATTTTCACAATCCATAATTTATCTTTTTTTCTACAATCCACAGTTTTCTTTAATTTTGCATTAGCTCACCTTTGACTAGGTGAATATACACATATACATAAAAATTAAATTCAGGAACAGTATAGCACATATATAGGCAGGTTTTCAGTTTCATTGAAGAGTGAAAAGCTGTAACAGACTGAACAAAAGAAGCAACACAGACTTCAAATTATATTACATGTGCCAGAAGCTACTCAATCAAACTTTTCTAAGAATCCATTTCAAGTAATATTGTCACATAGAATAGATTAGTTGCAGTAATTTCAAGTAAGTATTCCTTAATTTCAAAAGCTCAATCCTTTGTTTTTATTTGACCCTTAAATAAAATAAATTAGGTGTTTCATGTCTCCAGCTGCCTTTTTTCTCTGCCTCAAAACATACTCTGGTTGTTCAACTGCCTAGCAGTCCTCTAAGCAGTAATTCCAAAGACTAACAGTCATTTATTTTATTTTGTTCCCTGATAAGCTCCCTGCTCTAATTTATATTTCATGTTTAGTTACCATGTGGTTCAGTGTATCCAAGAGCTTTCTTTTATCTTTCTACTTGAAGCTCTTTGTTCAACCTTTGCAGTTTTTAAAAAGAACTGAAAAGGCAGAATGTTTTCAACCATTCATACTGAATTCCAAATGCTGACTTGTTTTCTCTATTTTCCTAAAATGCCTACATTGAATTCCAATGCAGACTGAGATCTGGCTTCATTTCCTATTGAATCCAAGACCATTAAGTTCTTCCTTTAACTTTCTCATTCACTGGAACTGGTACTGAGTCTTCAACTACACAGGATGTGCTGGAGACTTCCACATCTTACAACACACCATTAGAGGTTATTATTTTTAGATATTCTTAGTGTCAAGAAAATAATTTGGTTATAATAGAATAATAGTAGTATACTTAAAGACAAATTATTTCATGCACCATTCTGTAACAATCTACATTCCTGCTGATTGTTTCAATTTGGCAAACAATTAAGGCACATGACAATGAAACTTCCCAATTTGACTTTCCAGTCAAGATCCATAAACTATCAGGTTTTACTTTGCACCATGGCAGGAAATGTCCCAGCATTTAACCTTTCCATTTCAATGTTTACAAAACAAACAAAACCAATGCAGCTGTATCATTTTCAGACAAATATGCTGTCACTAAAAACCACAGAAGCTTAGACCCATGCAACTTCACCAGCCAAACTCAATGCCCCTATTTCTCTGCCTAAACAAAAGCAACCAGAACAACTTCTTTGCTTTGAAAGTAACAGTGCCTCTGTTGGACATGCATTGTAGAAAACGTTCATTTCATCCAACTTCTGGATTTAACTTCCTGGATAATTGGTAAGTCTGTTTTGCAAAGTGGGTAATGAAAATCTGCCCAGAAATCCCACTGCTTCAGCAACTGCTCCAGTTCTCATTTAAGCTTTCCAGAAGCTGTCTGGTAAGAGCAGTGAAGAGAAGCAGAAGGTGGTAATTATGGACACTTTTCCCATGCTCAATTCTTCTCTTCTGCTTATGCTCCTGCTAAAGGGCTCATGGAGAGGCTTGGAGCAGAGATGGGAGTGTGCAGTAAACGGGCAATGAGCTGTTCAGTCACTCTGCAACACTTGCAAGTCTTGCCAAGTCCCCGAAATATGAACGCAGCTCAACAAACGTCCACCAAACAGGCAGCTTGGATAAAAACTGTAGAGCAGGATTCTCTTCCCTTTCAGTGCTTCCTGGGCATCCTCCTGGGGATTTGTTCATGAGACTACAACAGGCCCTTGTTGCAGCTGATCTATTAAATTAGGAAACTGGATAAAAACTGTATTTTCAATCCTGCTGAATTTGCAGGGAAATGGATCACAAGTCCATAATATATAACTTTTGTTCATTAACAAATTTTCAGGAAGTAAATAGGCTGTAGTCCATTGACTTTTTCCGACATTTCCCTTTTCCCTCTTTATTAAGGAAAAAAACCAAACAAACAACCCCCCCCCCCCAAAATATTACACCTGCCAAGAAGGTAAAAGGAATTATACAAACACGATATATATTTTCATATCTATATATCTCACTAAGAGTTCTCTGACTCTAAGGTAATCTAATTTCTTCCCATTCCATTAACAATCTGCAACCCTTTAGATAATTAATTTTTCAAGGATACTGCTTTAATAAAAGTCGTGTTGCTTGGGTATTTTTTATTGCTGCTGAAGTAAGAAATACATTTCAGCAAGTGACCTTGAAATGAAAACAAACAAAACTGATAACCCCCATTTCCAACATTTTTTGAAAATCATATTTGGGTTTTGGGGTTTTTTTTTGGGGAGGGGGAGTGTGTTTGGATTTTTGCTGTTGGTTTTGAAAGCATTTAATTTACAGTGTTGACTAATGGTATTAAATACCTCATCCTCAAGTGGACAAAATACTTGCTGGCTCCCAGATGCCTGGGGTGTCCTCAAACTGAAGCGCAGAAGTAGTGTTCAGTCCAAAAACACTGCCTCTACCACAGTCTACTCCAAAAGCTTTTCACACTTACCTGCAGTTTGGAATCACTTGCAGACTTCCTCACCTACCACAGGTTATCAACTCCCAGTCACCTACAATATTTATTTTCCACATTCTTTTCGTTTACTGCAACTTCCTTCATGTCCTTTAGCATGTGCTATGTCAGCATGGCTATTTAACTTGATACAATACTGCATAACACTGTGAAGTCTTGACCTGGCTCATGTACAGCTCCTCCTTGCTTTTCTATCCAGGCCAAGCACAGTACCCAGGATACGTCACAAAGCTTTTGTCACTGGCCTCTCGGAACCACACTGCAATCTTCCTGCATTGCTCCCATTTGTCCTGAAATCAATTGCTCTTGATTAATTTGCGCCACAGGCCTTCCTCGTCTTCTCTCTTGCCACTGCCTATTTTCTCTAACCCTTTGATGAGCAGCATGGATTCACTCAATTCAGGGCAAGATTTCAGCCTATTAATGAGAACACCTCTTAGATACACTTGTTTTCACATGCTGATGGGAATTCTCAACATCATAAGAACAACTGCTTCAAAGATCTAGGAAATTCAGCACAGCTGTGTCTCTCTGTTGCCAGAGCAACATAAATCTTGATTACACATGCAATAACCTAATTAATCTTAAATGGAACAGGATAAACCACAAGGGCTAGGTCTACCTCCTCAATACCCTGCTCTCCAGCAATAACACATGCACTTGTAGCTGTTATTAACACCTAAGTAAAAGGTGGGGCAGTCCAAATTGTATTTCTCCCTTCTTCTTATTCTCTAGAATAGGGAGAATCACCTATTCAGTGAAATACGTTTCCAGTTTACTTCCAAAACTTATCAGTCTTTTCATTCAAATACAGGCAGCCATGGAAAGTGAAGTGTACAGCCAAGTGGACTATAAACCACAGTATTTTTTCCCATGCAAAGACAAAAAATCCAATAAATCTCCAACAACAAAACATTATTGCAGCCCTTCTGAA